TCGCCTTAATGAATATTTCGTTTGTTTGTATGGAAGTGTTACTAACCCTGAGTGTTAGTGTTGTTCTCCAGTGCTGCATAGTGTTTGGAAGAATGCAATGAGTGATGGATGTATTTTGTACATGTGTAGAATATGTAGCAGCCAACTGTGTGGAACACTGTCGAATACTTTTCTGTAGTCTATACATGCCATGTGTATGTTTCTGTGTTGTTTGTGTGCTTGCCGTAGAATGACTGAATCTATGAGTAACTGTTCTTTGCATCTCCTATGATTTCTACGGCAACCTTTTTGTTGTTCTGTAAGAATGTCGTGTTCTTCTACGTGTTTGTATATTTTGTTTGTGATACAGGATGTCAATAATTTGTAGAGTGTTGGAAGACATGTAATTGATCTGTATTGTGTGGGGTCTGTGGTGTTGTTGTTTTTAGGTTTCATATAGGTGATGCCCTGAGTAAGAAATTTTGGCATGTCTTGTGGATTGATGATGATTTGTGTTAGATGTTTAGCTAGATCCTGGTGCAGTGATGTAAACTTTTTGTACCAGAAATTGTGAATGTTGTCTACACCAGGTGTCTTCCAGTTGTGTGTTCTGTTAACAGCATAGCAGATGTCGTGTATGTTTATTTCAGCACAGGGCATAGCTGGTATGTTGTGCAAGTTTCTGTTCTCCTCCTCGATCAAGCCTGCATCGGCATTGTGTGTAACAGCATTGGACCAAAGAGAAGACCAATAAGTTGTGAGTTCTTCTTCTGTTGGTGTGCCACTGTGCTGTGTATCAGTGTTTGTTTTGGTACTGATTTGTCTGTAGAAATGTTTTTCGTTGTTTGTGAATAATTTATTTTGTTGTTTTCGTAGTGTACATGTTTTGTATCGTTTGAGTCTCTGTGCTTTGGCTGCGAGTTTCTGTTTTAGTGTATCAGTGTATTCTGTAATGTCTGTGTTGTGATGTTTGTGTTTTGTATGTGTTTTGATTTTCTTGAGAATGTTTTTGAGTTGTTTCTTTAATTTGGGTGTTATGTTGTTATTAGTGTATTGTGTCAGCCTGCCTAATTGCTATCTAATGTTATTTATTTGTGTTTCTATTCTTCTCTGCCAGGCAGGCTTGTGATAGAATTGTGTTTTGTTTGTATCTGTCTGTGATTGTATTTTCAGTCCATGGTGTGTTGCTACTATGACAGCATAAACTAATGTATGAATGTCTGAGAGTGTGGAAATTGAATGAATGTAGTTTGGTAGTGAGTGAGTGTTTACATAATTTAATGTTTTTCCTACTACCTTTGACGTGTTGATTTTCGGTATTCGTGGTCTTTGTGTGGGATCTGTACCTGTATATTTAGTGAGTGTTTCCTGAAATATAAGTGAGAGTGTATTAACTAAATCTATGTCTATGTTATCAGTGATGGATGAGGAAGTGTCTGTAGTATCATTAGTTGTAGTTGTTGTATGTATGCTATTATCAATGCTTGTTGCTGGATTATTATCCTGACAGGTTACGTGATCTTCATTAATAATGTTAAATGTTTCTGTCTGTTGATGTATTTGATCAGCAACTTGTTATTTGATAAGTTCAAGTGTTGTTTGTGGCATAAGGATCTTTTTTGATCAATAACCCTTTGTTTGGTGACAGTGAGGTGAGGATATTGTTGTGTGAATTTATGGTGTAGTTGTTGTCTGTATGCTGTCATGTTTGTTTTGAGTTTTGTGATTGCGTAGTAAGTATGGATGATAAACTTGTTTCAATCAAAACTTCAGACTATGAGGCGTTAAATATAATTTAAAATATTTTAATCTTGCGAGTGCTTTTGACGTAAATATGCACATCGTCTTCAGGCAATTCAAAATCTATTCGATTTTGAATTGCCTGAAGACGAATCGAATAGATTTTGAATTGCAGTAACCATGCTTGGGCTGGCGCTGCTTTTGCCAGTGGTAACCAAGGGAGACTGCGGCCTATTTTTCGATCGTGAGCCTCTGCCTAACCCACAAACGCAGACCTTGTTAACCCGGGCGACGTCCAAGCTGGTATCACACTTTGATCTGGTTACTACCATGATAATTATCTCCACAGAATGTGGGTGTGGTCACCCTTAGCTTCATTTCTCCTCAT